ATAAATAAAAACTTGTGGGATACAGAAAAAGGGAAATTTTTAGACTTAAAAAAAAGAAAAAATAATAGAGGAAGAAAATAATGAAGATAAGAACTAAAAATTAATGAAACAAAGATTCAATAGACAGGTTTAACAAAACCAAAAGCTGATTTGTTGAAAGAATAAATAAACCTTTAGCAAGATTAATTAAGAAAAAGAGAAGGAACAAATATTTGGAAATAAAAAGTAGTCATAACGGGGCCCCTGGGTGGCTCAGTTGGAAGAGCATCTGACTCTTGATTTTGGCTCAGGTCAGATCTCAGGGTTGTGAGACTGAGCCCTGCATTAGGCTCCAAGCTCAGTGAGTAGTTTGCTTGGGATTCTCCCTTCCCCTCTCCCTCTGCCCCTCCTCCCACTTGTGCTCTTTCTCTCTCTCAAATAGATAAATAAATAAAATCTTTTTTAAAAAAAGTAGACATGGGGTGCCTGGGTGGCTCAGTTGTTAAGCGTCTGCCTTTGGCTAAGGTCATGGTCCCAGGGTCCTGGGATAGAGCCCTGTGTTGGGCTCCCTGCTCCGCGGGGTGGGAAGTCTGCTTCTCCCTCTCCCACTCCCCATGCTTGGGTTCCTTCTCTCACTTTGTCTCTCTCTGTCAAATAAATAAATAAAATCTTTAAAAAAATAAAATAAAATTTTAAAAAGTAGACATAATTACTGATACAGCAGTTTTTAAAGATTGAATAATGCTACAAATGAATGGTGAAACTACAACAATATCCATTATATTTCATCTGGGCCTTTTAAAAATATGCTCTCTACTTGAGTATTATATATGCAGAAGAAGCTAACCTTTTGAACATATACTTGAAGCTATGTTAGGTATACAAGTCCATGATTATTATGGTTTATCAACATGGTCTGTATCTATGTGTACACTTAAAAATGCCTCTTGCATTAACAGTACACCTATCGTGTAGTTTATGTAGTTTATAAGTATCTCTAGTGTTGATATCTCTGTAAGGTAGGAGTATATGACTCATATTTCAGATGAGAAAAATGAGAGAGGTAAATGACTTGTTTTTAAAAGCTGGCATTCAAACCCTGATTTTCCTGGCTCCAAAGCTGCAGTGATTGAATATATACTGATTGTATACATAATATGTATTTATAAAAAAAAAAAAAAAAAAAAGAACATTTATTGAAGTGTGAGGAAAAGCTTGAAACTTAATCATACCACCTGGTGAAATAAATGTCTACATTAATAGCCCTTATCTTAGAGAAAATCAAAATTCCCTAAAGAAAATAAGTAGACCTTCTAATTAGGTACTGCTAGAAAGCTAACTCATTGCTGAGTATAGCCTCCAGTCCCACCTGACCAGGAAGCCTGGACTGAGACCCTGGGAAGTTACAGAGCATATTCTACCACCCAACCAGAAAGAGAAACAAGTCAGCAGCCCCAGCCAAGTATGAAGCATAACCTCCTGCCTAGCTCACCAGGAAGTCCTAACAGTGACCCTGGGGAGCATCACAGCCCAGCTTACGGTGCTGCCTAGCAGCAAACTCCAGTCTATAGCCCTGCCTGGCACTGAAGCCACACGGATGGCCATGCTCAATTGCTGAGCACAGCCTACAGTCTCACCCAAGCAGGGAGCCCAGTCAGTGATCCCACTCAGTTATAAAACACAGTCTCAAGCCCTGCCCAATCATGCAGTAAAGCATGAGGCCCACTCAACTAGGAAGTATGGCCAGCAATCTTGCTCAACAGCAGAGCACAGCCACCGTCCCACCTGATTTAGAACCCAGCCTCTGCAGTCCTGCTAGTTGCAAAGCATAGGCTGAGGCCATATCAGACCATGAAGCCCTGCCTGAAAAAAGAGGCTTGGCAGTGGCATCATTTGATCAGAGATGACTGTGAAGCCCAGCTAGTGACCCTGCCTGACCTCAGAGCACAGCCCTTTCCCAGGGATCCCAGCCGACAGCACCACTTAAACACAAAATACAGCCAGTGGGCCTCCCCCAACCTCAGAGCATGAGCAGCAGCTTTGTCCAGTCACATACAACAACACATTGTAATCACATTGTCAAAAGTCAAAGACAGAATTTTTAAAGCAGCAAGAAAAAAGTGACTTCTAACATATGAGGGAGCCCCTATAAGACTGTAAGCAGATTTCTCAGGAGAAACTTTGTAGGCCAGGAGAGAGCAGTATGATATATTCAAAATACTGAAAGAAAAAAACTCAATGAAGAATACTATACCCGGCAAAGCTGTCCTTCAGAAAGGAAAGAGAGAGAAAGCCCTTCCCAAACAAATGAAAGTTGAGAAAGTTCATCACCACTAGACCTCCCTTACAAGGAAGGCTAAAGGACATTCTACAAGCTGAAATGAAAGGATGTTAAATAACCTCATAAAACTGCACAAATGTGTACAACTCATCAGTAAAGGTAAATATATACTCAAAGTCAGATTCTATAATATTGGAAGAGTGGTGCATAAATCACTTTCAACTCTAGTTTAAAAGTTAAAAAAGCAAACATTAAAAATAACTATAACTACAATAATTTGTTACTGGATACACAATAAAAAAGATGTAAATGATACCATTAATAACCTAAAATGTGAGGGGGAGGAAAGTGTAGAGTTTCCATATGCTATTGAAGTTCTTATCAGCTTAAAATAGGACATTATAAATATAGATCATGAATGCATACAGAATTACTCAACCATAAAAAAAGAATGAAATCTTGCCATTCATGACATGATGGACCTAGAGGGTATTACGATAAGTGAAACAAGTCAGAGAAAGACAAATACCATATGATTCCCCTTATATCTGGACTCTAAAAAAAAAAAAAAAAAGGCAAAACAAAACCAACAACAACAAAAAGAAACACACATAAATATAGAGAACCAGTGGTCGCCAGAGCAGAGTGGGGTGGAGGCAGAGGCAACATACATATCCAGTACAAACTTCCAGTCATAAAATAGATAAATCACGAGAATGGGAAGTACAGTACAGGGAATACAAATAGTAATATTGTAATAACTTTGAAGGATGACAGATGGTGACTACACTTATCATGGTGAACATTTTGTAATGTCCATAACTGTCAAATCTCTGTGTTGTGTACCTGAAACTAATATAGACTTTTATTTATTTATTTATTTGACAGAGAGAGAGAGAACAAGCAGGGAGAGTGGCAGGCGGAGAGAGCAGGAGAAGCAGGCTCCCCACTGAGCAGGGCTCAATCCCAGGAACCTGGGATCATGACCTGAGCCAAAGGCAGATGTTTAACTGACTGAGCCATCCAGGCGCCCCCAATACCTGAAACTAATATATGTTAACTATCCTTCAATTAAAAAAAATACTAGGGAAAAAACTCCTTGACATTGGTGTTGGCAATGATTTTTTTGCATTGGACACCAAAAGCACAAGAAACAAAAGCAAAAATAAAGAAGACTACATCAAACTAAAAATCCTCTGCACAGCAAAAAAATAACAACAAAACAATAATCAAAAATCCCAATCACACTGGCCTACAGAATGAGTAAAATACTTGCAAATCATCTATACGATAAGGGGTTCCTATCCAAAATCTGTAAGGAACTCATAACTTAATAGCAAAAACAAACAAAATAACCTGATTAAAAATGGGCAAAGAACCTAGATACACATTTTTCCAACCAAAGAAGACATATACACAACACCACTCATCAGGGAAATAGAAATCAAAACCACAGTGAGCTATCACCTCACACTTGTTAGGATGCTGGTATCAAAAAGACAAGAGATAGCAAATGTGGGATAGGATGTGGAGAAAAGGGAACACTTGTGCCCTGTTGGTGGGAATATAAATTGGTGTAGCCATTATGGAAAGCAGTATGGAGGTTCCTCAAAAAATTAAAAACAGGGGCGCCTGGGTGGGCTCAGTCATTAAGCGTCTGCCTTTGGCTCAGGTCATGATCCCAGGGTCCTGGGATCGAGCCCCGCATGGGTCTCCCTGCTCAGCGGGAAGCCTGCTTCTCCCTCTCCCACTCCCACGCCCCCCTGCTTGTGTTCCCTCTCTCACTGTGTCTCTCTCTGTCAAATAAATAAATAAAATCTTTAAAAAAAAAATTAAAAGCAGAACTACCATATGCTCCAGCACTTCCACTTCTGGGTACATATATCCAAAGGAAATAAAATTACTATCTTGAAGAGGTATCCGCATCCCCATGTTCATTGCAGTATTATTTACAATGGCCAAGACATGGAAACAACTGAAATGTCCATCACAGATAAATGGATAAAGAAAATGTTATATATATGCATATATATAATAGAATAGAATTGAATATTATTTACTCATAGAAAAGAAGGAAATATTATTTACTCATAAAAAAGAAGGAAATCCTACTATTTGCAATAACATGGATGAGTCTGGAGGACATTACACTAAGTGAAATAAGTTAGAGAAAGACAAATACTATATGATCTCACTTAAATGTTACATCTTAAAAAGTCAAACTCAGAAAGAGAAAGTAGATTGGTGGTTACTAGGGCCTGGGAGGCAGGAAAAAACGGTGGAATTTGGTCAAAGGGTATAAACTTCCAGCTAAAGATGATTAAGTTCTGGGGATCTAATGTATAGCATGGTGACTATAGTTAACAATACTGTATTACATACTTGACAGTTGCTAAGAGAATAAATTTTAAATGTTCTTGCCGCCAAAAGATACATAGTAACTATGTGCAGTGATGCATGTATTAACTATGTTTATAGTGATAATCATTTAGCAATATGTACGTATATCATCACACTGTACACCTTAAACGTACAGTGTTGTATGTCAATTATAACTCAGTAAAGCTGGGGGGAAAAGAAATCTAACTCAAAAGTGTTTATATAGAAGAGATTTATAAATTGACTTAACATGTTTTTTAAATGAATGGATATTCATACAATCTGTTTTAAAAGGTTGTGACAAACTGTTTTGACATTTCAAATGTGATCATTTCACATTTTAATGAATTTACCATCTTACCTGGTTCATTTCCCAAGCTCACTTCCTCATCTGACAAAACTAACCTAAAGTAAAAACCAAAAACGCAAAGATTTTGGTTAAAATATACTTGGGACTCATATTCTACAGTTGTATATGGTTAAAAAATATTTTTAACTGAGATGACATATAAAATAGTTGTCTTGTAGATAGATCTAAAATCTGAGACAGGGCGCCTGGGTGGCTCAGTTGGTTAAGCGACTGCCTTTGGCTCAGGTCATGATCCTGGAGTCCCGGGATCGAGTCCCACATCGGGCTCCCTGCTCAGCAGGGAGTCTGCTTCTCCCTCTGACCCTCCTCCCTCTTGTGCTCTCTCTCATTCTCTCTCTCGCAAAAAAAAAAAAATTTATAAAAATAAAATCTGAGACAAATGTCACTTCTCTAGATCTACATAGACTATGAAAATGATCCTTCATCCCTTATTCTTTCAACAACAGTTACTGAGTACTGATGAAGCACCAGGTACCGTGTTCAGTATTATAGGCACCGTGTTAAGTACCACATCATAGAGAACATCTGTCACCAAAGTCACGGAGTATGAGGTTTAGTTTTCAAGCACTGAAGCATCTGCTCAATAATACCTGGGATCTAAATAGAGGGAATGAAGAATTGCAGAAAAAATGGAGTACTCTATTTTGAACAGCAAGGTGACATTTGCAAAAGAAGATACATTTGCCTAAAATATTCTCAGTCAATACTAACTTTGGATATTTATATCATCCATGTGCAAGAAAAAATTTGACAAAGAAGTTGAACATAGATTTAGGCATTATTCCTGGGGTGTAACCTCACAATTCTAGTATTAGAGGCTGTTTTTAATAAATCTTTAAAGATACGTAAAAAGCAATCCAGGTAATCCCCTGCTTTTCAAAAGCTTGCATTATGCTTCTACAGAAGACCTACGTTAGTACCCACCTTTGCTAACTGAAAGAAGCCCAAAGGGGATTTTCACTTTTACAAAAAAGGCAAAAAGCAAAAACAGCGTTAAGTGTTTGTTTTGCAAGGAGCCCTTTTAGAGGCAGCGTGCACACTGAGCAGCGGCAGCGGCCCCACCAAGCTCCTTCCCCGGGAGCGACACTTGGCATCTCCGCGCTAAGCCGCTACAGCTCTGAACTTTGTCTGTGCGCATCTGTGCTTTATCTCCATTTATTTTGTGCATACATTAGCAAGATGTGTGCTACGGTGTCAGAAAAACCTAAGAGAGGTTATTTTTTGGGTCTAGGAATACTAAAAAAAATTTTCACAAAAATTAATGGTAATTGCTTCTTTGCCTTACACTGTACTGGCTTATGAAATATTTCATTGGGACCTTCACTTTCAGATAGCAGGGGAAACCTATACAGTATTTATTTGCAAAAAACACAAAAATAAACCTACAGAGCAAATAGATACTAATGACTTGGAATGAAATTTCCAATGACAGCATATATACATGGGTTTTTAAACAACTTAGATGGAAGAGAAAGTAAAGTGCTTTGGACTCTGTTGGTTAACTCAAAAGGTAGTTCTCATAATGCTGAAGATGCATGAGAGGATTTTGAATAAAACTTACATGAAATGTGATAATGGAAAAAATTTACTAAATGAATATATTTCATGTAACAGGATTGTAAATGTCAATGGATAAGTTTCATTTATAACTATACATTTGATTAATCTACATCTAAATTGTTTACATATTCAAGTTTGCCAAAAAATTTGTTTGGATTTCCCCATAGAGAAAAGAGGGACATGCTTATATCCTGAATCACCTTCCACTCAGCAATATATGGTTTGTCACAGTTCAAGTCTTATTTCTGGGTTTGTTACTACACTCAGTGCAATCTAGTTAAAATGAGAAGTAGCAGCTCTGAAAGGAAAACAAGGGTACGATATAATAAAATGGAAAGAGGCAACATAAAGGATGTGCATGGCAAGAACCCCCATTTTCAGGTAACCAGCCCCAGTCCCATTTGTGTTGCTCTAGAGACAGATTTTCAACAGCTTCTGTTTCATAGCTGCTGGCACTTGTCCCTTTCTCTTTCAAGCTGGCCCTTCTGGGATTCGCTAGGTAGAGGCTCTTACTACAAAGCTCACTCTCCCAAACTATAGAATTTGGAGTTATCCCCAATCTGTTCTGTACTCTTATCATCAATTTTGCCTGCCATGTTTAAAATAGGGGGAAAAATAAGGCTTCAAAACAAATGTTTAATATTAACTGGAAAAATGGGGAACCTGGCTGGCTCAGTCGGTAGAGCACCTGATTCTTGATCTCGTGAGTTCAAGCCCCATTCTGGGCACAGAGCTCACTTAAAAAAAAAAAATCCCTTAAAAATACTAATTGGAAAAATGACATAGAAATAAATATTCAGGGGCGCCTGGGTGGCTCAGTTGGTTAAGCGTCTGCCTTCGGCTCAGGTCATGATCCCAGGGTCCTGGGATCAAGCCCCACATTGGGCTCCTGGCTGAGCGAGGAGCCTGCTTCTCCCTCTCTCTCTGCCTCTCTCCCTGCTCATGCTCTCTCTGTCTCTGTATCTCTGTGTCTCAAATGAATAAATAAAAAATCTTTAAAAAAAAAAAAAAATATTCAGTAAGTCAGAAAAGAAACAACTCTTTCCAAATATATTCTGTATCAGTATCCACAGTTTCCAAATATATCATATATCATGTATCATTATCCATAACACCATACTTCTGCCTGCTTACTTATTGAGGTTTTCAGTGAGAGAATTGTTTTCTATTTGTTCTTTGTGGTCTTCGGTAAGCTTGCTTGGAGTGTCTTGTAGTTGCTAAGGACAAGAAATTCAGTGTTAAGTAGATGGAATCTGTTTCTCTCTTTGTGCAAACAAAATGAAAATAAAAATTTTAAAGAACAACATAAAATAGGGATAATTATGAAGGAGACTAGAGAGTGAGAGATATGGGAAAAATATGCTAATGTAATTTGAACTAAGCCCTGTGTCCCTGTTTATCCTGGTGTCTATGGCAACCATACAGCCTGTGACACGGGCTAGCCACAGGGTTTCCAAGTCTGTCATATGCCAAGGAAGACACACTGTGTTTCTGGCTTTGACTGCAATGCTCCAAATACGGCTAAAGATTTTCAACTTCATCTGAACAGAAATTAGATATTAAATTTGCCTAAAAACACAGTATGCTATCCAGTGAAACACTGATATAGAAAAAAATAAAAAACCAAAACATACACACAACAAAAAACATAGACTAATACAAGGGTATCTATTAGACTAGAAGATGCTATGTCAGAACATGACTTAAAAATCCATACCAAGCCCCAGGAATACACAGGTGCAAGATATGAATCTATCACAGATAACACATACAGTTTGAGTAATCTCAACAATAACATTTTCAAGCTCTATTTAAAATAAGGCAGAGGGGCGCCTGGGTGGCTCAGTTGGTTAAGCGACTGCCTTCGGTTCAGGTCATGATCCTGGAGTCCTGGGATCGAGTCCCGCATCGGGCTCCCTGCTCAGCGGGGAGTCTGCTTCTCCCTCTGACCCTCCTCCCTCTCATGCTCTCTGTCTCTCATTCTCTCTGTCTCAAATAAATAAATAAATAATCTTTAAAAAAAAAATTAAAAAAAATAAGGCAGAATGATAAGTTCAAAGGCACTGAAACCTAGCCTACCCAAATTAGAGAAATGATTACCATGGTGTGACTCTGCTAGATAAGCCATATGCAAAGGCTGACAGGAAGATATGCAAATGTTAAAAACCTGAGAGTACCTTTTACATGTAGGTATTACAGAAAGAGCTGATCTAATACAATACAGTAGTCTCTTAAGCTGGAATCACCCATAATTTTTGCACCATGAATCACATCTACAACATGAGTATAAAAGTAAAGCAAGGTAATTTTTAACTTCTAAAACTGTCAGGTAGGTAGGTACTCTGGTTGTTTTTGAAAACCAATAACCATTTTCCATTGCTTGTTCCTCCGAAGTTTTTCTTTTCCATAACTTTTTCTTATCTCGTTTGCATTTTAATTTTCTTTTCTCTTGCTCGCTCTTTTACTCCCCGCCAACCCCACCCAATATCTTGAGCCCACCAGCAGTATTCTCATATTTGTTTAGTGTTGCTGGTAGCACTTGGAATCAGGGAAGTACAGAAAAACGACTGGTTGAAGGAATGTAGAAAAATGTTTCCCAATATTTTGTAAATTCAAAGTTAGGCTCAGTACAAAGTAGTTTCAATATCCAAATGAAGTATAATATATCTAACAAAAGAGCATGGAAAGAAATGTACCTTGAGAGCTACAAAATCATATGGATGGAAGCCAGTACAGGCCCCATGGATCTGGGACATCAATCGGGCTGTTTTCTCCCAGAATCCAAGCAGTGTCCTCTGCAGAAGAAGAAAGGTTGTCACTACAGTTATGATTTTTTTCCCTGCTGTTTTTCCTCACTAGTGTAGGTAGATGAATGGTTGCTGAATAATAAGCAGTAGGAAGTAAAATCAATTTCCAAGTTTGAGGAACCAGAAAGCAGTGTAAATAGTAATTCTGCATAAGAACTGGCATCTATCAGCATATATATGTGCCTATCTGTATACAAAACTGGAATGTACACTGGAGTCAGCCAGAGAGTAATGCTAGTGGATTAGAACACCTTCTGAAGAGTCCAAAAGAGAAATGTTAAAAGCACAAAAATACCATATTTATATTAGGGGTATATATGTAGATCTTTATGTTGGTAAGCATATATAAACCTTTATTAATTGGGAAAAATAGTATGTACCACTAACTTTAGTCTTTCATTTAGGGCACAAGAAAGACCAAAAAAAAAAAAAAAAAAAGTGTTCTCAAGCCAACTCAAGTAATTGGACACTTCCCTTGGTGCTTCAAAGTTTGTATTCAAAGTGGGCTGAGTGGAGAGAATAAAGGAGAACTGAACTAACAGCTATTGTGTTTCAGGTGTATGCTACATGGGTTTGCAGATACTTTTATTTTTAAGTGCATCCTTTCTTGACTCCTGAATTCCACAGGACTGAACCAAAGCAGGTAGATTTCCTACAAGGCCCAGTGAATGTCCATTCCCTTTAGTTTATTATTCTTATCTTATGTAAATACAGTTGATTCTGTTTTGCCCTTCACGAATACATGTTAAAATCAGTCACTGCTACTAATTAACATCTGCCTTACTCACTGCATGCTGTTTATGTGTGATTTGGGGTAGCAGAAGCACAGGTGAGACCGCTGAGGTTAAAGTGGTGGGAGACGGCGACTTGGCAGAACGAAAACATGGGACCCAGCATGAGAAAACTTAAGTTTTTAGCCCAACACTGTCATTTACTTTAATTCTCCTAGGTTTCATTTCCCTGAGCTACAAAATGACAGAAACGGTTTAAACTATTGGGCCACAGCATCTTTGCTTCAAATGAAACTGTGTGTAGAAGTTCAAAGTGGAGTAGTTCTGGGTGAACCAGGGTTAGTGAGCTGTGAATTCTGCCTAACACCCCCACTCAAACCTAGATGGCCCCAAAGTCTCCCTCTCCTAGGACACCAAGGAGAATAACATGAAGATATAGAACTAGGCAATCCCGAAGGTCTTTTTCAGTCTAGAATTCTATGATTCTCTGTCACAACCTCAATAAATCCATTTTCAAAGTCAAAGGAATCTGATTAATTATGCAATTTTTAACACCCTTTAGACAACTTTTAAAAAGGAATCTCACCACTCATCTTTACTGCAAGGACATGCTGACCATGGAGGTGGGTACCTGGTAGGTAGTGAGGGAGTGAGATAACATATTGCAGCGACTAGCTCCAAGTAAATCCACTTTCTGACAAACATCCATCTTTAACTTGTCAAAAGAAGCTTTGCTATTTCTCACTTGGATCTGTACCTGCAACCACAATAATATTTATTATTATTACTGATAATACAGACATACCATACAGGCTCATGATACATATTTTCAGACAAATGAAATTGTAATAAAGAAGACTAATTCTCTTTCCTTGTATTATTATTTCATGATTAATGGTAAAGATCTTGGCTATTTTTAGTAATTGTAGGAGATTCTTTCTAGCAGATATCTTTATGCTGAGAAAGTATGCAGTGATAAATGGAAAGTATATAGTTAAGAAGAAAAAACCCCACAGATTCCAAATAAAAAGAAATATCCCAAACCACTGATGGGTAATATTTAGCTAATAGAAGAATGAATGGAAAGGGGACATAGTTAAAGTGTTGAGAAGCAGTAATAATAATTCTGAATCATGGAGATACATTTATAAATTTAAATATAGGTCTATCATATTTCTTACACTTAAGGTAAGTCATATGTCACCAAGTGGCATGAATATTCAACTTTTAAATATACTTATTCAGTCATTCAACAAGTATTTATAAGGTATCTATTATGTGCCAGGCACCGGGATATTGTGGTGAAGAAAACAATGTTCTTTCCCACCATCCCTGAGTGGGGAGGCACAGGAAAAAACAGTAGTAAATAAATACGTAAGATAATCTCAAGTTGCAAAGATAACATATAAGTGAAAAGAAATGACTGCTTTTGGTAAGATGATCAGGAAGCCTTTGATGAGCTCATGCAAGATGTTTGAACTGGGACAGAAAGATGATAAGCGAGCCATGCCAGGATTCTGAGAAGAGCATTCCAGGCTCAGGGAAAAGCAAGGACAAAAGTCCTGGGCATGGGAGGTGGGTGAAGAGCTTAATATGTTTGCAGAACAATACGGAATAGGCTAGAACATATTCCTTCCTGGGGCACGGAAAGGGCTAGAGTATAGGAAGTGCAAGATGTGGCTGCACAGGGACCAGAAACCAGACTGTGCAGGGCTATCTGGGTCCAGATAAGTTTAGAATCCATTCTTTTTTTATTAAAATTTAGGTGAAATTCAGATAATATAAACTTAACCATTTAAAAAATATATAATTCAGTGACATTAGTGTATTCACAATGTTGTCTGACAACTCCCTTGGATTGTATTCTAATTGTCATGGACTATAAAGGGGAAAGAATAACAGGTTTCTGTGGCCTATACGGCTGGTAGAGAGGCTCCATCAATAAATATGATTTGTATTATATGTACTCTAAATATTTATGAAGTGAAGGAGTGAATTTTATTATTTATATATTGTAAATTTAGGGATACAATTCATAAGTAGTTTATTTAGCAAAAACATAAGTCCATACATACTTTAAAGGTCTGTGGTCAAACTATGTATTGTAGCAAAAGAAGAATCTGATAATCTTCACTTTTTCTTATAATAATCGAGTTACCTGAATTTTTACTTAAATTATTTTTTCCTCACTAATAAATTATTTCCCCCTCCTGCAAACAAATCCCAGAGGCCAGGGAAACAACATTTAAAGGGTAGTGACAGCTACTGTGAGAGGGATTAAAAAAAAAAAATTAATAGAAAAGTTTGATGGGGTGGGGATGTCACTCAAAGAATAAAAAAAAAAAGTGTAATAACCTTTTGTACTTCAAAGATCTCCAAGCAACCAAGAATTTATAATATAATGTGTTTCAAAAATAGCCTGATATTTTATGATCTTGATTCAATTACTCTGTGTAAGTTCAATAGGTTTATATATCAAGAAAAGGAAAGGGAAGGGATTTTCATACTTTTCTGAACTTTTCCATTTGTTTTAGGGTGTCTGGGTCCAGTTCTTGGGACACATCCTTCATCCACAGCAGGGCTCCTCTGTATTCTGTGCGCGCTTGTTCCATACGATTGATTGTCATCAAGGTATCAGATACCGCCCTTTGACTGAATGTTTCTACTTCTTGCTTCAGACGAGACAGAGGAGTAAACAGGGCCAATCTAATGGCAGAGAGGTAAAAACCAGAGGGATGTACATCCCATAAACAAAACAAAATAAAAACAAAGGTTTAAAACCATAAAGCATATCTGCTGTCAAGATGAGTCTAGGGGCGCCTGGGTGGCTCAGTCATTAAGCGTCTGCGTTCGGCTCAGGTCATGATCCCAGGCTCCTGGGATCGACCCCGCACCAGGCTCTCTGCTCAGCAGGGAGCCTGTTTCTCCCTCTCCCACTCCCCCTGCTTGTGTTCCCTCTCTCGCTGTGTCTCTCTCTGTCAAATACATAAATAAAATCTTAAAAAAAAAAAAAAAAAAGATGAGTCTATAAAATAGGAAATTATTAAGATGCCTAAGGAACTTTAGAAAGCAAATAAAGATCATATAGCTAACTTTGAATTGCTAATAATGATGTGTCTATCTCTCTCCCTTTTCTTATTTTAAGAAATATATTATTTTTGCAACATTTTGGATGTTAATCCACGTATAAATAACCTGCCAAGTAAATCTGCCATTTAGAAAAGAGTTCCATGGGTAAAAGAGACCCTGTATTCACAAAACATAATCCCATAAATAGAAAGCCTTTCATGTGACAAATTGAGGTAAAACCTAAGCATAGAAAAGCAGATAAAATGCTAGAAGAACTAATGAGTGTTGAGTTCTCAGCAGCTGAGGATGAGGACAAAAAAATCAAGAATTTAAGAAACAAATCAAACCCAGCTCCTCTAAGTCTGCGTTTTTGACTTGGTGGCACTGAAGGGCCTTGTACTGAGTGTTCCTTAATGATGGGCTTTTGCACTGATGTGGTGTTTCAGAATAAAGCCACTTAATTTATACGTTGTCATTACAGGTCTGATAAGACCTGTTTTTATTTTTCTTCTGAAAATGCAAAGATTTTGGCTGTATTTAGTAAATGTAGGAGATTCTTTGCAACAGGTATCTTTATCTTAAAAATCTGTAAAAGTGATAAATGCCAAATAATTAAGAAAAAATGCTCTCTGCTTAAAAAGAAGAAAAGCTCTAGGGGTGCCTGGGTGGCTCAGTCGTTAAGCGTCTGCCTTCAGCTCAGGTCATGGTCCCAGGGTCCTGGGATCGAGCCCCGCATCGGGCTCCCTGCTTGGTGGGAAACCTGCTTCTCCATCTCCCATTCCCCCTGCTTGTGTTCCCTCTCTCGCTGTGTCTCTCTCTGTCAAATAAATAAATAAAATCTTTAAAAAAAAAAAAAAGAAGAAAAGTTCTAATGTACTCCTAGATAGTACAGTATCCAAAAAAAGAAAGAAAATAATTAAAATATACATATTTTTATATATATGTACCTGTTATATTAGACCATATAAGAAATTTAAATGTAGGCTTAAAGCCTATTTCTAGGAATTAAGCAACCTATAATGTCCATTTTTAAGTAATTCTTTTACATACAAAATAAATAAGAGTTAGGCATCAAAACAATTATATGGTGTAATATATCTCTCTTTTAACCCTATACTGGAATGATCAGTAATCTTTACAGATATTAGAAACATAGGTCAAGGGGCGTCTGCCTTCGGCTCAGGTCATGATCCCAGGGTCCTGGGATCGAGCCTCGCATCGGGCTCCCTGCTCGGCAGGAAGCCTGCTTCTCCCTCTCCCACTCCTCCTGCTTGTGTTCCCTCTCTTGCTGTGTCTCTCTCTGTCAAACAAATAAAATCTTTAAAAAAAAAAAAAAAATAGGTCAAAACTATCATGTTGACTATAGATTTAAGGACGATGTAAAACATAGTAAACCTTTGCTTGGCTGAAGAACAGAGTGCCTTGCCAGTAGCATCCATCATTTTACCAGCTTGTGTTGTATCCCGTTCTGCTTGAAACTTTAAAAAGAGCCCCAGTTCATTTTCTTCCTCTGATATAACTAGGAAAAAATTACAGTATAGTTAATTGTTTCATTTCATCATTTGTTTAAAACACACAACTAAAACTCTCACAGCAATAATTCTCTATATGTAAGAATTACTTGGGGGAAGGAGAGGCTTATTTTAAAAATGCAAATTCCTGGGGCTCTACTTCCAGAGATTCTGATTATATAGGTCTTAGGATCTGCTTCCTCCCACCTACAAGTGCTCCAGATGGTTTTGATGTAGTGAATTCATGGACCTTGCTTTTGGGAAAGGCTGATCTTTAGTGGAAAAAAAAAAAAAAAGATTCCAAAATGACAAAACCACAAATGATGCATTAGCAATTGTGCAGACATGCATTTTAGGATCATTGCCTCTTACAAAGTATTTGTATCCTATTTAAACTTAATCTTGACTCCCACCCTGGCTCAGTATCCCAGGCCCATAGACATCCACAATTTTACTGAAACCCTAAGTTGTCATGTAGTATACTGCTACTCAGAGTGTGGTCCACTGACCAGTTCCAACCCAGAACCATTTGTTACCAGCCTGTAACAAGTACCAAAACTAAGAAGCTGTTTAGAAACTTACTAATTTGACTATTTTATATCTATTGAATCTAATAATAATAAAAAAGTGTGTTTATATTTTGCATGTCTTCTTTAATTTCATTTTTCTAGAAATCAATTTTTATTGTATATTATAAAAGTGTCAGTTTACAACAGATTGAAAGTAAAACACGGAACAAAAGTGGTCTTTGACCACAGAGTTTTAGAAGTCTGACCCTCTAATCACAATAAGACTAATAAGGGGGGGAGCCCATAAAGTGTTCAAATTATAAGCTTAAAGTGACAAATGACTAACATCATGCCTAATTTCACCCCGGTTTACTGTTGGAAAAGCTGAAGTTAAAAACTGAAAGGGGAAGGGGTGCTGGCTGGCTCAGTCCGTAGAGTATGCGACTCTTGATCTTGGGGTCATGAGTTCAAGCCCCACGTTGGGCATAGAGCCTACTTAAAAAAAAAAAAGCAAACACAAAACAAACTGAAAGGGAAGTCCCTCAGGACCTCTGAGGCAGCAGAACTCAAACCCACTCACATGCTAGCTCCCCATTCCCACTGCTCCTCACTATCACTTCTTTGTCATAAGGAACCATTCACAAAATAGTTCAGTGAACTATTGTTTTTACATTAAATATTTCATTCTCAAAAATGCAAGTGAATTATTTATTTTAAATGAGAATTATTGGATAGATATCTAGGATTTCATACCATTGAGTCTTAGCTGATATTTCTCAACTATCTTCAGAAGTTCAGTGCATGTCTCTTGAATGGAGTGAAAAACCTTTGAAATATAAATTTTATTAGGACAATCTAAAGAACCACAAACAAATATAACATATCTGTTATAAGCACTTCAAAAGCACAACATTTTCTTATAAGTGTTGTCTGTTTTCCTTGACTTTGATGTACTTCAGTATTGGTTTTATCTTTGATATAGAAAATTTAGATTCCCCCATTTAGATTCCCCCCATGAGGGTTGGAAAAAATGGTGATAAATACATGGGGACTAATAAAAATTTATAACTGTGGAGTTTGTCCTCCCCTCAGCTCCAAACTATCTAAATAGCAAAAATGTAAATCCAATATAAACTGTATCAAATATTGCCAATTACAGATGAAAATAGTATAGATAATTTTAGAAAATGTTAACTCTCAATCTGGCTTTTCTACAGGATTATTTTAAGCATAACGTGAGTGAATTACCAAAAAAATTAAGTAATGTATTACAACATCAAAAATAAATTACTTTCGGATTGTTTTTGTTTGAAATTTTCCCTTCATTACTACTGTTGCTAATAGCTAACAGAAAAATAAAACATCCAGTAGACACCCATTTCAAAGTAAGCACATGAAAATTTGAGATTTGGACATATTATACACATGAGGTAACTCTTCACACACATCTAAAAATTTAGGTTTTCCCAGGGAAATGAGGTGGCATAGGTTTTAGGGTATAGCCTTCTTCCCACAAAGTCCTCTGCTGAAGAATTGTTACAAGACTTTAGTTCAAAAAGACCTTGGCACGGTAGCATCGTATTAGGCACTAACCCTTTGAGTATCAAATAAATTTCCAATACCACCTCTGAGCCTGAGTATTCCCTCTCTGAAACAGTTTTGTTATTATTCTGATATGTGATCAGACCTAAGGAAGATCATTGATAGACACTAAAATCTAAATGGAGGAGCAACCATCAACTTTTCACATAAGTTTAGGTATGTTTGAAATGAATTTGGTATATGGACTTGGCAATTTAAAAAGCTGCTTTAAAATCATATGGAAGACTAGTAAAAGATATAAAAATGATTGTTCTACTAAGATGAAATGGTTATAGTTGGTTTTTCCCCCATGGGTCTTTGAAAGATTTATATATAATTGCTTTTTATTTTTACAATGAAAGTTTTTTAACCTTAACTATTTTACAATGAAAGTTTTTTAACTGAGGGAAAAATTTGTGTTATTACAAAATTGTAATATATTTAAAGCATACAACATGATGATTTAAGTATACATAAAATGAAAATTTTTCTCATTCTTAAAAAATATACTACAAATGTGGGAAAAAGTACTTGGGTGATTTCAAATATTTGTCTAATGGACAAAAATATAAAATAGGTCACACAGATTACCTAACAATGTAAAAGACAGGAAAATTTACTTCTGTGGGAATATACGTGGAAACAGTAAACAGTTCCTTTAGCATTAAAACATTTATTACTAATAATCAAGTCCCTTCATTTATTCCACATTTGTCATTGAATCATAAGAAGAATACTTTTCAACACAAATAGTAAAAGCTTGTTAATTTGTTATCTATTTCCATATTTGTTATGGCCATGACATAAGTTTACATTTTGTAGAATAAAGATACTTAGTAGATTATGACCTGTTTAATGGGTCCTATACTTTTGAGGATTGCAACAAATGATTATATTCCAAGCATAATAGAACTCCTGCTTGGAAATATTTTTAAAAGGTATCTTCAATTAGTATACATACATGGAATTAGTAAACCTGCATTTAAAAACCCAGAAATTTTTGTATATATAGGAGACAGTTTAATTACTTAAAAATGTAAAACACTTACAGGTTTAAAGTAGTTTCATGGTAATTGCTTTTTTTATTTAAAATGAAAAACACAGCCAAAAAACACATTACAAAACACTTCAATAACTCTATCCCTTAATTGTAGAAACAAAAACTCTAACATAAAAATCCTCACTCGGGGCCATTGGCTGTCTCAGTCGGTGGAGCATGTAACTCTTGATCTCAGGATTGTGAGTGTGAGCCCCATGTTGGGTGCAGAGTTTATTTAAATAAAGAAATAAACTTAAAAAAATAATAAAAAATAAAAAACCTCACTATTTGATTTCAATTAATTTCATTGAGATATGACTTCACATAAAAGTGGTACAAAATATTACAACATGATATATAATGAGTATATGGTTTTAATTAGGAATATAATTAATTCATTAATATTTAGCTTAAAAACTAATACTTGTGCCAGAGAAATTATTCTTTCTCTAATTTATGAATACCAGTTCTGCCAATTCTCAATTTGTGAGAATTGTGACCTCCTACCTAGAAGATCTGATTGACACATGAATACAATTAAACATTCTATTATCAAATCTGCAAGTTCTTCAGTCATAGTCCCAAAGAATAACCACTTATATGCAATATAAAGAATCCTCAAATTTACCTCGAGTTTAGCATCCAGTTCAGCATCAGATGCCACCACGTGCTCATCCTCCTTTTTTCCCGTTGCTTTGATAAAGACCTGTTTAGTTTTCCAGTATTTCTTTTGCATTCTGCTAACTACTGACTGATTATCTTCTGGTCTGGGTTGTCCAAAGGAATCCATGGAGTGACTACAAGGAACAGATTAAAATTTCTTAAATTTTTTCAATAATATATATCTAGTCAGTGAGTATTTAATCCAATTGAAAAAGTGAAAAAGATACTAAATGGAATATTAATGTTAATAGCTATACATACTAATATTTGCTCTGTATGGTCTCAACTTATGCTATAACTTGCACAAGTAACAGACAGAAGAAAGATTAATGATATTTACATTAATTTCAGTTACGAGACAAAGATGATAAAACTATTATAATATTGCAATAATGACTGGAAATAATTTTATTTTATTTAACCAATCTACTTACAGACATCTATTAGTTTCTAATTTTTGCTTTGTAATAATACTGCAAATGAACTTATACACACATCTTTGCATACTACTATCATTTCCTTAAAAAAGTTTGCTATAGTTATAACTGCTGTGTCAGAATACACATTTAATAAATATTCTTAGATATGCAAAGATTCAGATACATACTCTTCTTTAAAACTCAAAGAAATACTTTGGTATCTGAAAAAAAAAACAAAAATAAAGATCTTAAGTATAGGAGAGATATGTTAGCAATAAAGATGGGGGGGTGCCTGGCTGGCTCAATCAGAAGAACACGTGACTCTTGATCCTGGGGTCATGAGTTTGAGCCCCATGTGGGGTTTAAAAAATTATAGAAAAAAAAAAAAAGATGGAAATTGTAACCTGTCGATTTGAAAATTAATATCTAAGTAATTCTTAATATGGTTAACATGGCTATATAAGGAAATGCAAATGTAAAAAGTATTCCTTAAGGAGATGTAAAAATGGAAATAATAATAAATAGTTTTAAAAGCCTAAATTATTCCAATAACCGGTGGGAGGCAGGACCACAGGGAGGTACTAAAGTATGTGATTCATTCATCATTTTCAGGGGAATCAACAGATATTGATGTATTACTGTTAGTAAAGAAAAAAGTTTCGGGGGCGCCTGGGTGGCTCAGTCGTAAGTGTCTGCCTTTGGCTCAGGTTGTGATTCCAGGGTTCTGAGATCAAGTCCCACATCGGGCTCCCTGCTCAGCGGGAGGCCTGCTTCTCCCTCTCCCACTCCCCCTGCTTGTGTTCCCTCTCTTGCGGTCTCTCTGTCAAATAAATAAAAAAAAATCTTTTAAAAAAATGAAAAAAAAAGAAAGTTTTATTTTTTTGAAGTAATTACAAATTAAATAAAAATAGAATGTCTACTTTCTAAATTACTAGGTGCAAAACAAAAAAGCAAAAAACCAGCAAAAGCAAAAGCAGGGTAGGAAAAACAAGATTAAGAACAGTTACACTATTTAGTATGATAAATGCAAACCTCCTCTCAGATATAAACAATTTCAAACCATAAAAAACAAAAAATTATATCCAACTACATACTATTTGGGGTCTACCTCAAACAAAATGATATAGAAAGATATACACAAACAAAATTAAAGCAGGAATAGCCATATTAATATCAGACCAAGTAGGTTTAAATAAAATGTATTAAATAAAACAAAGATAAAATGTAAAATCCCCAGATGGCCACTTTCTAGACATTCTCTGAATATTCTGCTTTGGATATCCTCCTGGATTCCTAGAGTTTAGATTAGTTACCAGTTAATTGCAGAACCTCTCATATGCGATGCTGGATAACGTGGCTGGACATAAATTGAGACAGAAAATAGAAAGAGAATTTAATCTTGTTACAGAGTCAAATTGGATTTGATATAATCATTATACTGTTCCAACACACAAAGAGTCTTGAGGGAAAACTTGCAGTTCATCTTTCCCACCCAATTTCTGTCTGCTTTTGGTTGCTCTTGACTGCTTCCAATTAGTTTTTCCCCCAGACTGTTATTAGCATGAGGGTCAGCCCAATTGTATGACGAACTGCTGATTTCTTCTACTAAGCTGACTGCAAGCTTAGGCCCAATCAGTTAAGAGAACAAAATTCCAGGGAGTATCAGAAGAGAGCATCTTTTCCCTGCCTCGACTTCAATGCTGACAGAGCTCAAACAGTATATTCCTTGCCTCTCTCCACTCCCTCACTATCTCCTTGGTGGAGGAGAAAACGTAACTTACTGGACTAGACTTGAGAGAAATAAACTCAGTCCTCCCTTTTCTCTCTGGAAGCTATCCTGCCTGCAGAGAACACATATTACCTGGCAAGGGGAGGATAGTGGCTGGGGGGTAAATCTGCAGAAGATGAGATTTGCAATTTGTAGCTTTTTTTTTTGACAAGGGTACCGTTGAATCTGATTGCCACTGGAGGTAGGTTGAATAGAAAGCAAAATTTTATTGGCTTGAGATATCAAGTTCAAGGCTGACAAACTATAGAAATTTAGGAAGGATATTCTAGAAGAGAGGGAGCCAAAGAGATGATCTCCAAAATCTGTATACAAAGTCCTCCCAAGACCTGTGCTAATCACTAAACTAACCATGAAGTGAGGGAAGGGACCCCAAGGGTGCTGGCAGAAAATAAGCAGCTGGAAACTGAAGTAACTGAAGTAACTAGTAAAGATTCAAGCTGCTATCACTACAGAGGAGACAGAGTCTGGAATCTGAGTTCAGCCAAGTCAACTGCCTTCTAGAATAAAAATTATTCTTCAGAAAAGCAAAACAGAATCCAGAATCTCTAAAACATCATTTAAAATGCCAAGTAACCAATCAAAAACCACTAGACATGCAAAGAACTACAAAAATGTGACCCATACTGAAGGGGAAAAAAGCAGTCAATAAAAACAAATTCCAAAGATTTCCTGGATATTACAACAATCACACAAGTACTTTAAAGCAGCTATTATAAATATGTACAAAGACTAAAAGTAGGATATGTGCATAATAAACAGAAAAAAGTCAGAGTCTCTAGTTGCAAAGTTCAATGACTACAGTTAAAAACTAATTGGATAGACTTAAGAACAAATCAAAGATGGAAGATAAGTGAAGTTGAAGATGAATCAAAAATTACATAATCTAAAAAACAACGAGAAAAAAAAAAAAGACCAAGAAGGAGGGGAGAGATAGAATGGAGAATGGGGGGAAAAAAAAAAAAAGAAAAAAGAAAAAAGGAATAAAACATCCCAGATTTTGTAAATGACTTTAACTTATAGATCAATAAATACAAGGAAAACCACAAATAGGCATATCATAAATAAACTGCTTAAATCCAAAGATAAAGAGAAAATTTATCTTAAAAGCAGAGCAAAATGGCAATATTATATACAGGGCAACAAAAATACAAATGACAGGCAGTTTTTCAACAGAAACAACAAAAGCCAGACTACAACAGAGGAATATATTTAAGGTATTGAATGAAAGAAAACAAACTATCAACCCATAATCTGTATCTATCAAAACTATTCTTTAAAAATGAAAGCAAAAAAAAAAAAAAAGCAAAATACATTTTAAGATAAAGAACTGAGAGAATTCATGGCTGGGGGACTTACAGAAATGCTACCAAATTTTTCAGGCTGAAGAAAAATTACAACAGTAATTTGGATCCACAGGAAATAATGAAGATAACTGGGGGTGGCTGGGTGGCTCAGTCGTTAAGCGTCTGTCTTTGCCTCAGGTCATGATCCCAGGGTCCTGGGATTGAGCCCTGCATCGGGCTCCCTGCTCAGCAGGAAGCCTGCTTCTCCGTCTCCCACTCACCCCTGCCCCGCTTGTGTTCCCTCTCTCCCTGTGTCTCTCTGTCAAATAAATGAATAAATTCTTTAAAAAAAAAATGAAGATAACTGGAATTGGTAAATTTCTGGGTAAATATGAGTTTTTTTCTTTAATTTCTTTAAAAGTCTGGGTGCCTGAGTGTCTCAGTTGGTTAAGCAGCTGCCTTCGGCTCAGGTCATGATCTCAGAGTCCTGGGATCAAGCCCCGCCTCAGGCTCCCTGCTCAACAGGGAGTCTGCTTTTCACTCTGCCCTTCCCAACCCCCTCATGTTCGCTCTCTCTCTGCAAAATAAATAATCTTTTTTTTTTTTAAAGATTTTATTTATTTATTTGAGAGAGCGAGAATGAGAGAGAGAGAGAGAGAGAGAGAGCACAAGAGGGGGAAGGTCAGAGGGAGAAGCCGACTCCCTGCTGAGCAGGGAGCCTGACGTGGGACTCGATCCAGGGACTCCAGGATCATGACCTGAGCTGAAGGCAGTCACTTAACCAACTGAGCCACCCAGGCACCCCAAAATAAATAATCTTTTAAAAAAATTTCTTTCAAAGTTATAGTTCAACATATGCAGACAAAAATAAAATAAGAGCTCATCTGTCAACATTCTGCCATTTAAAAAATTGGGGGGGGGGGCTGGATGGCTCAGTCGTTAAGCGTCTGCCTTCGGCTCAGGTCATGGTCCGAGGGTCCTAGGATCGAGCCCTACATCGGGCTCCCTGCTCCACGGGAAGCCTGCTTCTTCCTCTCCCACTCCCCCTGCTTGTGTTCCTTCTCTCACTGTGTCTCTCTCTGTCAAATAAATAAAATCTTTAAAAAAAATTTTTTTAACTTTTTTTTAAAGATTTATTCATCTTAGAGGGAAAGAGCGGAAGGGGCAGAGGGAGAGGGAGAGAGAACTACAAGCAGACCCCACGCTGAATGCATGATGGGGGGGTCTCGATCCCAGGACCCCAAGATCATGACCTGAGCTGAAACCGAGTCAGACACTTAACCGACTGCACCACCCAGGTACCCCAATATTCTGCCATTTTTATATCATTTATACTTTCACCTACTCCCTACCACTTCATTCTATCATCATCATCAATACATGGTTCTTTTTGGTAATATTTACATACATTGAAGTGTACAATTTCTAGCTGTGTACTTCTGACAAATGGATATTATGGTATAGAACATTTCCAAGGCCCCAGAAAGTACCCTTGTATCCTTTCTCAGCCAATGCTTAGCCTATAAGAAATAGTAACTGTTGTGATTTTTTTCACCTTAGTTTTTCTTTCTCTAGTGTTTTTTATTATTATTATTATTATTGCTGAATAGTAATCCATTGTGTGAATGTAACACCAGGTTTTCATCTTTTACTACTGTAAATAAAGCTGCTATGAACGTGGCTATACAAGTCTTCTTGTGGACAAATGTTTTTTTCTTTTGGATAAAGACATAGAAAAGGATTCTGTCAAATAATTGGCATATACTTAACTTTATAAGAAATTGCCTTTTTACATTCCCATTAGCAATGTATGAAAGTCCCAATTGTTCCACATCCTCACTCACATGTAATGTTAGCAGTCTTACTAGTTTTATCTGTTCTAGTCATTGAGTAGAGGTATTTCCTTATGGTTTTAATGTGAATTTTACTGATGACTGATGATGATGAGCACTTTTTCATGTGTTAATTGGCCATTTGTATACACTCCATTGTTAAGTATTTGTATTTGCCCATTTTTAAATTGAGTTATCTTTTTTACTATTAAGTTGTACAGCTCTGGGATTTAGATAGGAGTGGCAATGAACCTACAGAGGTATTTGTGGAGGACTGGAATCTTAACAATACTGAGTCTTTCAATGCAAAAATGATAATATGCATCTCCATTTATTTAGGTCTTCTTTAATTTCGCTCAGTAGTGCTCTGGAGTTTTTAATATAGAGGCATTGCACATCTTTTGTTTAATCCTAAGTATTTTGTGTTTATTGATGTATATTCTACTGTGTATTTTACTACACCAAATTCCACACTTTTCTCAATGTTCTCATTACTTGAAATGTTTGAGTCTCTGAGGGGACCCAATAAATGGCATCCCTTTTCTCTGCATTAGGTCTAAACAAGTTAATAAATAAATAATATAAGGTGTAGTAGCTGAAGGCCAAAATCCCATTTTTTGTTACTAACAGTGGCAAAGTTTGTGGATATAGCTTAGTGTGAGATCTAAATGGTCCTCCTCACTGAGCATCAGGACTAAATAAATTTGTCAACCAGTCAGAGGTAACTGGATTAGGGCAGGTTTTCCCATATGGGAAGAGGAAGAAGGATGGCTAACCATTATTTCTTATTTCTATACTTTCCTTCTTTGCTCTTGAAAAGGTCCCTTCTTTAATAGTTCTTCTAGTGAATCCTGTGGGTAAAAAATGCTTGATCTTGATACCTATGAAACTCTGTTTTGCCTTCATTCATGTTTCCTTTTTTTTCAAGATAGATTTATTTGACAGAGAGAGCACACGGGGGGAGGGGCAGACGGAGAGGGAGAGAATCCTCAGGCTGACTACCTCCTGAGCTCAGAGCCTGAGGTGGGGCTTGATCCAGGGACCCTGGAATCATGACCCACATGAAAACCAAGTGTCAGGTGCTCAACCGACTTGAGCCACCCAGGCACTGCCATTCATGTTTCTTGTATATAAACTACCAATTTCTTGTATTTTTCCTTTTTTTTTTTTTTTTTAGTTATCATTATTGGTCCATGCAAGACTCATATTTTTGTTTGTTCATTTACTTGTATATTGATCTTTTTTTAACTTCTTCCTCATTTCCATCTCTCCTCACAATCATTCTAATGTGCTTGAATGTGTACTTTTTAATTTGAATGTATTCTTGTAAAATGGGTTATGTACACATCCTAATATATAAAAATGATACGGTGTTGTAGATTTTATTTCTGAGTTTTTGGGTGTTTTTCACTCAGCCCTTTGTTTTCAGGTTCTATATATGTTGCTATGTATGCATCTGTTCTGTTGTTTGATTACACATCATTCTTTAGTGTTTAATTCTTTGAAAATAGAATCCCCATGTCTTAGGGCATCTATTGTAGTCAATGAGAAGTCTGGGGACAAACTATCTCTCCTTTCTGAGGAAGCTTTATGATCCTTTGAATCTTTTAGAGTGTTCTATTTAACCTTGATGCCCTCAGGCTCTCTAAGATGTGTTTTGGTAGAGTATTGTCATTCTGAAGATTCATGTCTTCCCTCAGTTCTAGAAAATTTTAAGCTATTATCCCTTCAAATATTTCCTTTAAGCCATAATTTCTTCTTTTTATCTGTTTCTTCTATTGGGTGTTATTCTTTATAGGTTTTAATGGCTCATTTTTATCTCTGTTTTTCTGTGCTATCTTTTCAGTAAATTCCTCAGTACAATCTTCCAATTTATGAATTCTCTTTTCAGTTTTGTCTAGAGTTCATCCCAGCTATTGAGATTTGTTTTTTAGGGGCGCCTGGGTGGCTCAGTTGGTTAAGCGACTGCCTTCGGCTCAGGTCATGATCCTGGAGTCCCGGGATCGAGTCCCGCATTGGGCTCCCTGCTCGGCAGGGAGTCTGCTTCTCCCTCTGACCCTCCTCCCTCTCATGCTCTCTGTCTCTCATTCTCTCTCTCTCAAATAAATAAATAAAATCTTAAAAAAAAAAAAAAAGATTTGTTTTTTAATATCCAGTGACTCTTTCTTTCTTTCTTTCTTTTGTAATTTCCAAGATTTCTAATTGGTTCTTCTTCATAGTCTCCTAACTTCTTGTCCTTTTTTTTTTTTGAACTTCTTGTCCTTTTTAACAGTTACCATTCTATAATTTTTCTCTTTGGCACCCTAAATATATATAATTATTATACTTTTCTATAAAATCATTTTTTTTAAGATTTTATTTATTTATTTGACAGAGAGAGACACAATGAGAGAGGCAATACAAGCAGGGGGAGCGGGAGAGGGAGAAGCAGGCTTCCTGCTGAGCAGAGAGCCCGATGTAGGACTCGATCCCAGGACCCTGGGATCATGACCTGAGCTGAAGGCAGTTGCTCAACCAACTGAGCCACCCAGGCGCGCTCTATAAAGTCATTTTTATCTGGAATGAATTCATGTTCCAAAGGTTGATTTTGTTGGTTGAATTTTATAGGCTCATTGTGAGTACAGAATCTTTAATTCTAAAGGAAGCAAAACAGACTGATGGTAATATGCAGACTGATGGAAGCACTAAAATCTTCCTGAGAAAAATAATCTGTAAAGACTTTTGACTAAATATAACATAATTGCTTGATGCAATTAAGAAAATACATTAGACAAGTTTGCTGTTTAATATTAATGTAGTACTCCTGATTACTCTGGCTCCCAATCTATAACTTTTCTTACAAACACAATCAGCATGTCCTCAAAGAATCAGAGTTTGTTAATGATTTCAACTAATGATATGAAACAGTCCAAAATGTCAACAAATTTTTTCTCTGCAGTGGGATAAAGGGTGATAATTTTCTGTAGTTTCCAAATTTACTAAAAGTAACATGTATAACTAGCTTTTGCATAACTATTATTATTTTGAAAAATGTTTACTTGATTATTAAGCCCATTTATATCTTTTTGGTTTTGTCTTTTTCATATTTCATTTATTATTATTATGCAGCACCAGCAAGCCCTTATCCAAAGGTGAGAGTCATTCGTTCATTCATTGTTAAAGTACACATTAAGTAGTTATACTTTTATATGTCAATTTTACTTATGAATTAGTAAATGTATAAAAGAAGTCTGAGAAGTTAAAAGTTATTACAAGAACCATGTATTAATATCACATGTACATTATTTACAAGGGAGCTCCTATTCCCCTCTTGCCAATAATCTCACACCTATTAATAACAGAAATAAGATTAGAATTCAGGTGTGCTAGGTCCACAAGTGAAATATTGAAGAAAAACAGAGATCTTAACAGCATGAGACAAGGAAATGTCATTCCAAAAATAGGCTGAAGAAGGAAAAGGTAGATTGGTGATAAGATTGTAGAGGTCTCTATATTTTATTTAATAGGTAATGTGGAGCCAATAAAGGTTTTTGAGCAACAGAAAGATTAAACAGACAGCTCATAACAATCTTTCCACATTCCAGACATAATCTAATAAGAATGAGGACCAAGGATTTGAAGGAAGAAGGCCCTGGCTGGCTCAGTCAGTAGGGCGTGTGACCCTTGATCTCAGGGTCGTGAGTTCAAGACCCATATTGGGTGTAGAGATTACTTAAATTTGTTTAATTAAAAAATAAAAAATAATAGTAAAACTAAAGGGGTGCCTGGCTGGCTCAGTCAGTGGAGCATGTGACTCTTGATCTCGGAGTCATGAGTTTGAGCCCCACATTGGATGTGGAGATTACTTAAAAAATACATTAAGGAAAAGGAAGTGAACTACAGAAGAAATTATATTTTTGAAAGAATGGCTGAAAACTATATTTCAAATCCTTTTAATTAAAGTATCAAACACTAAATTTTTACATTAAAAAGATATTAAAGCTAATCTCCTATGAAATTTAAGAATATTTCCAACTTCACTGCATACTTCAGGCGAGCACCTCTTCCAGTCCTCTGCTATGCCCAACCTTCCCAAGTGCGCAGCCTTTCATATTCTGAGGATCAAATGGGATAACATATGCAAAATTGCTTTGAAAAATATAAAGTTGTGGGGTGTCTGGCTGGCTCATTCGGTAGAGCATGCAACTCTTGATCTCAGGGTTGTGAGTTGAAGCCCCACATTAGGCTTACTTAAAAAAAGAATAAAGCTGAATGCAAGTATAAGACATTCTTTTAATTATTACATATGGCCTATAAATGTATGTGATCTTAGCCAAAAGGCTGAGAAGTGATTACATATAGCCTATAAATAAACAAAACGATATAGGATGTAAATTTTTAAAACCTGAAACTCTTATTTAACTGACATAATTTTAAAACTCAACACTGAGAAATAACCTGGAAGTGGTTATTCAGATATTAAAAAACAAGGTGTTCTGTTAAAAATGCAGATTGACCTCATGCATATATCTGCTTTCCCTTCCCTAACCCACTAAAATAACAGTAAAAGTATAAAACAGAAATGTAAGCAATTAACTCATAAGTATAGGGAGAGTAAGTATAAAGACAAGAGCAGATGAGAGACTTCAGTACATATTTGGAGAGAAACTTGTCTGCTAAGCAACTAACAGAGGAATACTAATAAGCAATGAGTTAATTACCTTGCAGAATATCTGAAAGACTTACCATTTGGAAGTGGAAGAAGGATTCATTGAAGTCTGTATACAGCTGGCTGGACCCTGAGGCCCCTTTCTAATCTGTGTCACTCAATGGGAGTTGAAGAAATTGAACCCAGAGAGTTCTGGACTTGGGCAAGAAAACACAGCAGAAGACTTGGCCTAAAAACAAAATGATAAAGTGAAAGTCCACATACTAAACTGTTGAATGTCAAGCGCTTTTCCCATTCTTTGCTCACCAGTAGCAAAGCATTCTCTCTCTCTCTCTCTCTCACACACACACACACCTTTCCATTCCTCAGAAAAGACTGTAACATTCTTTTTTCTGGAAAGAATTAAAAGCTCCAGAGAAAAGGAATATATCATTTGGACATTATAGAAGGATGACTCTTTGCCTATTCACTGTAGAACAAAATTCGCTCACTCATACATACAAAACTTCTGATTAGTTTTGTTATAGTCTTCCTCTTAAATATAAATGGAAACCCAAAGATCAACAGATATGAGGAAAGTCTCCATCAAGAAAGACCTCTGACCTAAACCAACAAATAGAAAAAAGAAAATAGCTGAGGGAAATTAAGACAATATAGAAAGGAAACAAAACAAAACACAACCCTCTAACTAATACTCTCAAAGAGGAATAATAAAAGAATAAGAAAGGGGTCTCTGGGTGGCATGGTCGGTTGAGCATCTGACTCTTGGTTTTGGCTCAGGTCATAACCTCAGGGTTGTGAGATTGAGCCCCATGTCAGGCTCTGAGCTCAGCATGGAGTCTGCTTGAGATTCTCTCTCCCTCTGCCCCTCCCCCTGCTCACACACACACTCTCTCTCTCAAATAAATTAATCTTTAAAAAAAGAATAAGAAAGAACCCTTGAGGAAAAGATAGGATAGCTGAAATTTTTTAAACATTTAATAAAAATGTTGAAAAATAACTGAAGGACCTAAATTTCCATCCAAAAAGAGATTTTTACTCCAAAAATGCATCATTGTGAACTTTCAGGAAACTGGGTGTAAAAAGATCCTAGAAGCTTTAAGAGAAAAAGTAGATTATGTACAAAGTATTGGGAGTCAGGAAAAGAAATTTCTCAAAAGTAGCAATGCAATATAGAAGACCAAAATCCAACCCAGAAGATCAAAGATGGAAAGGCTCAGGATGACAGCTGCATAGAACAAGTAGCTCAGGGGCACCTGGCTGGCTCAGCTAGGAGCATATTTAACTCTTGATCTTGGGGTTGTGAGTTTGAGCACCACGTTGGGTGTAGATATTAGTTAAAAATAAAATCTTTAGGGGCGCCTGGGTGGCTCAGTCATTAAGCATCTGCCTTTGGCTCAGGTGATGATCCCAGGATCCTGGGATCGAGGCCCACATCAGGCTCCCGGCTCGGTGGGAGGCCTGCTGCTCCCTCTCCCACTTCACCTGTTTGTGTTCCCTCTCTCGATGTCTCTCTCTCTGTTAAATAAATAAATAAAACCTTTAAAAAAATAAATAAAATCTTAAAAAAACAGAAAAAAAGGAACAAGCAGCCCAAATTTAAGCAGGAAGATGGACTCTGGAAAAGAGACCTTTAGGTGGGCTTCTGGGTGGCTCAGTTGGTTAAATGTCTGCCTTCTGTAAAATGTCTTATTTATTCACTTGAGAGAGAGAGCACAGAGGGAGAGGGAGAAGCAGACCCCCACTGAGCAGGGAGCCCAATGTAGGGCTTGATCCCAGGACCCTGGGATCATGACCCAAGCAGAAGGCAGCTGCTTAGCTGACTGAGCCACCCAGGAGCCCCATTATCTTTAAATTAGAGAACTCATAAGTGAAAAGACAAACTCACCATTTGAAAGATAAGGACAAAACAAGAAGAGGCAATTCACAAAAGAACTTCAAAGATCCAATGAATACACAAAGATGTTATTTAATCTCTTTTGTAACTCAAGAAGCACAAATGAAAGAAAAATATGTTTATCTGTTAGATGAGCAATGATTTTAAAGGTTAACAGCTTCTGGGAAAGAGGGGGAAATCCATGCACGTTTGCATAATTCCTTTCGCTGACCAAAACAGAACCAAAATTAGAGAAGGAAACCCCTGTGCAAATAGCCACATCTCACAGCACTGATGCCAACGAATAAGTCTCAGATACAATGAGGTATGCATCATCGTTAAAGAGGATGTCCAAATCTGCCATGCATCTCCTCTAATCTCAAACAGATTCAGTTTCGGCAAATTGAGTGGGTCCTGAAGAACAATTCCATAATCAATCACTAACTTGAAAACATGAGTCCTTAAAGGCATAGCAGTCAGACTTATGGAGGAAGCAGACAGCATTCTACTTGGTACATATCTCCCTATCACAGTCTGGCAAAGAAGACTTATAAAGAAAAGCTCATGATGTTTAAGGTGGGGATATTTCTTCTAGTTTCCATGAGGACAGAGTTTCCATAAATCTTCCTAGCATCTTGCCCCTCTACCCCTTAAGTGAGAAACCTGACTGGCAAGTTCACCATGGTCCACATTTTTTGATTGGGCAGAGCTAATTTACCGAAAGTCTTAGGTAAGTATGTCTATTACAAAGACCCAAAGTTTCCCTTGGTTGGGTTATTCCAGGCCTGGGCTGGGGAACAGACATATTAGAAGACCACCTATACCATAAATATCTTCCAACAGCTCTCTCAACAGTAAAGCTGATATTTTATCTCCATCTGCCTAAGCTCCTTTGACCACATCTGAAATGGTTCCAATCTCAGGAGAGAACAAAAGAGCCAAGAGGTATCATGCACTTGGCTCCCTAAAACTTACAGTTGCCATGACATTTTTTATTTTCCTTGCCAGGAGCCAAAGCATGGCTGTAGAGAAACAGAAAGAGTAAGCTAGTGGTCAACCCTGCATAGCAGACTGAAGTAGATCAATCAGAGATATGTCAGCATTGATCTGCCTCCAGAATGAATGTTTACCATATGCTGTGGGAACCTGCTTAGAGAGAGCATATGACAACTGTGTCACCAAGCAGCCAGTTTAAAGAAGAGAGATCACATCAATGTGTTCAGTCTCTTGTCTCAGCCTCTAGGCAGCTATTCCAATGGCTTATGCCATTCTTGGGTAAAGAGCAGGCCAGAACACAACTTTTCAACAATAAATATAACATAAAAAAATAGGACTGCAAAAAAGGAGGAGGGATCATAATGTGAAAGAGAGAAAATAACCCACACATTTGGAGAACTGCTTCATAAAATAGAATTTTAAAGAAAAACTGCTTTGCATCAAATAAATAGAACATAACTCCATAAAACAGATTTTTAAAAAGAGCTGAAAGAAACAAAAGATAAAAAGAAAAAGAGAGAAAAAATACCACAGTACTTGAAATCATGTTAGAAACAACTCCAAGTAGAGAAGATACTTCAGAAAACCAAGTTAATAATATGGATGACAAGCCAGGGAAAATCATTCAGAATGAACATGACAAAGGTGGTTAAGAGTCTAACAAAGTAGTCAGAACAAAGATAGATTTGTAAGATAAACAACTGAAATCTAACATAAGTAATATTCTTAGACAAACAATATGGAACAGCCAAAATATTCAAGGATTTAGAGGTGAAAAACTGAAAGGTCTTGTCATGTATCAGGAAAAATTAACAGGAAATGATCAAAATTTAAGATATATTATGGAGTGTTGCCAAATATTAAGGATAAAAAAAAGATGCTTTTAGCATCTAGAAGAAACAGGGCCACCTACAAATTAAATAATTTATGCTGGCCTCAGACATCTCCTCAGCAACATTAGACAATGGATACAAGTGATTTCTGTGTACAATGTGAAGTGAAAAAGAATATGACATGAGGGCTCCTGGGGGCTCAATCAGTTAAGCGTATGCCTTCAGCTCAGGTCATTATCCCAGGGTCCTGGGATGGAGCCCCATGTCGGGCTCCCTGCTCAGTGGGGAGCCTGCTACTCCCTCTCCTTCTGCTGCTTCCTCTGCTTGTGATCTCTTACTCTCTCTGTTAAATACCTAAAATATTAAAAAAAAAAAAAAAAAAAAACGAATATGACATGTAATTTTCTACTTAGTGAAATATAATTTTAATGGATATTTAAAATTCCATTTAATGGATGTATTATAATTTACTAAAATGGTCTACTATTGATGGATATTTAGATGGTTTCTGGAATATTATTACACCATGCTGAATAAAAAATAAGAATAAACATATGTGTATTATTTAAAATACATGCAAGTTTATCTATAAGATAAAATCCTGCAAGTATATTGGCTGAATCAAAGGGTATATACATTTAACATTTTTCATTTTCCTAAATTGTCCTCCATAAAGATTATACTGATTTTTATGCCCACCAGTAATGGAGGAAAGTGCTTGTTCACTGCAACTCAGCACACTGTTATTAAATTTCTGATCTTCCTCAACCTTATAGATAAAAATTATTTTACGGTAACCTAATAATTTGGAATTATCTTACCATATTTTTAAAAAGATTTATTTATTTATTTGAGAGAGAGCACGCACATGAGCGGGGGCAGAGCCAGAGAGAGAAGGAGAGAGAAAATCCTTAAGCGGGGGCAGAGCCAGAGAGAGAAGGAGAGAGAAAATCCTTAAGCCCTGACTCCCCAGTGAGTGCAGAGCCTGACATGGGGCTGCAACTCACAACTCCAAGATCATGACCTGAGCCACAACCAAGAATCGGACGCTTAACTGACTGAGCCACCTGGGCACCCCATCTTACCATATTTCATCCACTGAAGACACCATCATTTGAAAGGTACACCATTATTTTATATACCTCTATTTAAGAAAAAGATCTATAAAGTAAACTGTTTCAAATCATTAATTTCCAAATACATAAAAAATTCAGATTTCAGAAATAATTTCAGAGATGTGAAAATATGAACAGGTGCTTCTTAGAATCAATGAGATATGATATATAAGAAAGGCTGAGTATCTGGAAAGGTCTTTTAAATATGCAAGGATCAGGAATACAGCACATACAAATGCCTCCCAGAACAAATAAGCAAAACAACTAAATTATTTGAAGCTACAATCCATACAACTAAAATGTATTTTTTTAAAGTTCTTTTTTAAGATTTTATTTATTTATTTGAGAGAAAGAGAGAGAGAGAGCACAAGTGGCGGAGAGGCAGGTAGAGAGGGAAAAGCAGACTCCC